CCCTGTGATGGCGGTGATGTGCCGTGCCTTGCCGTGCTGGGTCCAATCCACCCACTGAATGTTTCATCCGTTCATGAATTCAACTTGTTGGATTGTCGCCATATTAGGTTGTTCATGTGCCATCTATTTGAAGTGTTCCGTTAAAGTGTTCCTTGAATGTATTTGTAGAGAGTGTTCATTAATCAGTTTTTTATCGCTTTGTTTTGTAAGCAAGTATTACAAAAATATATATAATGAATGCGTTATAGATTGAGAACGAAAGTTTAAAAAAGTTCAAAAAATTTCATCGCGGTTAAGTTTCAAGTTTGACAGTGTTGTTAATACGTTGAATGACTCTAAACACATCCACACATACACAAGTACTCTGACACAACACTCAACTATGTTTACAAATATTATGGACATAAGTACATACATAAATACATGAATTTTAAAAGTATGTGCATTTATTTCGATACAATGATTTTCGTTCAAATACTCATACACACAAATATCAACAGAAAAGTACATCATACCATATAAAGCATGTTCACAGGCAAGTGGAATCTTCAACATTCAACAAACCTGCTGAACCCATGCATAGGTCTCATAAGGCACCTCAAAAATAATGATTGAAGTGCCAGTCATTCAGTCAGTTTAATCTTGCATGCTCGTCAAGTTCATCTCTTTGATGTGATTTGCATACAAATTTGGTAGGGTGCATGCTAATGTGCTACCATGTTATGAGGCCATGCTTCATTGTTGCTTTAAACGTGAAGTCATGTGTGAATTCGTTACGTTGTTGGTCCCTTCTTTTCACGGTCCTATTTCTCTTTCCAATGTGTCGTCGTCCTCTAGAATACAAATCTTCTTAACGAACTCAACGATGATTCATGCCTGCTCTATCTCACACGTTATAAACATCGACTACATTTCTTAAAACTGAACTAAGAGACGTTTAAAAATGTTAGAGCTTAGTGAACAAAATAAGAAAGAAGATAATAAAATGTTAAAAAAGGATGAGGTTTATTAGTGAGAAAATGTTGACAAACTGTGGAGCTAATTGCAGGGGTGTTGCAATGAAACTGAAACAAAATGTGGTTCGGAAGAAAGGAATGAAAAAAAAAACAAAGTGACAACTTGAGATATAACGAAGCAAATAATTAGGCCTACTTGAGTTGTTTAAGTTAGTTGAAGTGAAATAACAAAGCAATTATTGATAATTAGCATCGCTGTACATTTTTAACGAATTAGTCTTGGTAAAATATACGCTTGAATCTTTAACTCGTTTTATGTGTGTGTCAGCAAAAGTTGTATAGATATGTGGTTGCTCCAGTAGAATCTTTCAAAACTTGAATGAATGTTTTTTTAATGTTGTGTACATATGTATTATATCAAAGTGTATATATATTCTCGGTTGTACTGCTGAATAAAACTGAACAGTTTTTTGTTGTAGATATACTTGAGAGCCATTCTTCAGGTGCGTGTTTATTAAATTTATTTGGCTTATTACTTCATGAAATATTGAACAGAGCAGCAGACACTCAAACGCCACAACAAAAATTCTCAGACGTTTGGATGGAGTAGCAGTGATGCAGACGTATGAACATCGCCGCCTTTAAAAATGACACTCGCACGTTCACTTGACTGACTTGCATAATTTCACAGAGTGGACATTTTTGAGAACGCTTCAATCGACTGCCTCGCCACAAGGGAGAACCTCTCACGAAAATCTTCAACGATATTCATTTGGAATTTTATTTAAAAATATTTTTTATTAAAATTTCCAGACAATCGTAAACTATAGCTTGTTGTTGTTGTTGTTGTTGTTGTTAATGTTGTAGCGTTGTGTGAGTAGTTGGTTGCACCTGGGTTGCTGAACTTCGGCGAGTCTCGAGGACTCTCGTAAATTTGAAACGGAGATAGGCGTTCTACGAACAACCAGCAAAAATAAAAAGAGCAATATTTGAAAAAAACTAATAAAGAATCAAAGATAACAGAACAGATAAATAACTGGAGAAAAAACTATGAGGTTGCAAGGGAATATGAAAATAAGATGCAGTTGTCGGTCGCAATGGAGATTGAGTGTGTGTTTCTTGTTCATTCACCAGCCTTATTAGTTAATTTTCATGAAGATAACTTCAACAAATAAACTCGTTCTAATGTGAAAATGACTTTAAAAAAAGGAATTTTAAAATAAACTTTTAAACTTTTTGTAACAAAAAGGTAATATTTTTTCAAATTATTATCGAACCAATAAAAAAACAACAGGGTTTGGATACTTGGTAGTAGCAGATGAATATTTCTATGCTATATGTGATTGATTGCTGTTTGAAACTTTTCACGTGAGAAACATGAAGTTGACGAGATATTTTCACAACTTTTCATTTATCTGCCATTTGCACTTGTTGTAAAAGATTCTGCGTTTGTCAGAGTCTAATTTTTCTAAAAATGAACATGAAGATTGTATTTGTGCCAGTGGGGGAACAGACACGTTTGCGACACGTCCCTTATATATAAATATATTTGTTTATATACATCATCACGGTGATTTTTAGCAATAAATTTAAAAGAAAAACATTTCTGAGACATACAAATAAACGTTTGTTCTATTTTCATAGCTAAATTGTTAATAAAGTCATCAAAAGTTTTATTTTAATTTTTAAGGTTTTTATTATAAAAGGCTCAGTTGAACTTTATTTTGTTAAGTTTCAAACTATTTTTTATAAATATTATATAAACCAGCATAATTACACAAATTTATAAAAAAATATTTACTGTAACATTTAATTAAATTATTAACAAACTTTGCTAATTTGGCTTCAATGAAGTATTTTTCAAGTTAGTTTTGTCAAATGTTTCGTGATGAAGTACGTGCCTGCCTTCCGGCTTTTATTAAGTTCTGATATAGTAATTATAACGTCTGAAAGAGTTATCATGTGATACGTACGAGTTGTAAGGTTGTAACAATTCAATCTGTCTACGATAAAACACCAACATACATTTCGATCATTTAACTTTAACGCTGATGTGCAACTGCAAAACAAAAGGCAAGGTGGAATTGAATGAAAAAAAATCGTCGTTGTACCTCACCATGCAGACTCATTAGGTTTTTACGTTGATATTATCATCAATCATTTACAGCTTATTAACTATAGTTGTTTAATTATTGACAGGCGATTATTTTTGTGCTACCATTAGCTCCATACAATATCTGCTGCTACCAAAAACTTTTCAACACCATAAAAGCATTTTAAATGGCATGCAAATGAAAAATGCAAAAGGAAATATTTAAATTTTTATAAAAAGTGACAGCGTTAGAAAAATATCATCAGATACAAAATCAAAAAAAACGTACAAAATGATGCATCTTATAATAAAAATTCAAAAAATAAAGAACAAAATAGCGGTTTATAGGAGGATTGCTGTGTTTGTGTATGTGTGTTTATGTGTGTGTGTGTGTGTTGTGTGTGTGTGTGTGTGTGTGTGTGGAATGAAGGAGTGCATTGAATTGTGCAATTTAGAATGAAATCCGGAGTTATTGGTTCAATCTCGAGAAGACTTTATTAGTGACCCAACAAGTTACATTACCTTCTTTTTAGTGAGTTTGAATAAAAGGAAGAGTTTTTTTTAATTTTTAATTAATGTTTCAACAAATAAACCTCTTAGTTTATTTAATTATGATGAACCGGTAATTAACAAACAATAATTATAGCGATAAATATCGGCGTTCTTTAAATTAAAAAACTGCTTGCAAAATTAGAAGAGATTATTTCATTGTATGAAACTGTTTTATTTGCTTGCTCTTGAAACGTTGAAAAATTGTATTTTAATTATTCTAACAATGAGAACTAGTCTAGAGCTACACTCTGTTTTTTGTTTATTTTTCATGTTAATTTATAAATGATTCACTTGAGTTAACCTTTTAAAATTAAGCAAAAATAGTGTTAATATTTACAGCAATCAATGATAATAAGTAATACATGAATGCATACATTTAATATTAAGCTAATGATTATTACTGCCATATTAAGTCAGAAACATTACACAACAAAGATTAGAGAAATAAAAAAGTTTGTTGTGGTGTTGATGCAATGCACGTCTTGCAAAGGAGCAGGAAGCTCGCGGATGAATGCAGCGAAGCGTAGCAAGTTCATTTCGTTATTTCCATTCTTTATAACCATTGTACTTTTGCCTAGGTAGTTACTTTTCAATAAGTTCATAACGGTTCAAAAGTAAAAAAGTGTTAAAAACTATTTACAGTATATCTACATGCATGTTAGCTGCTGAAAATTTCATTTAATTGTTTTTTTTTGTTGGATGTTTTTTTTTGTTGGATGTTTTTATTTGTTTTTTTTTTTTTTTTTTTTTTTTTTTTTATAAAGCAGCTCTGTCAAACGCAGAATTGCATAAATGCCATTCAATACTTATAATTAAACTTTCGTGTTACAAAAGCTGTATTACCTATACCATATGACACACATACACACACACACATACATATACAATACACCATGTTTGTGTGCTAACTGCTTCATACGCCTAACCGATTGATTCTTTGAATTTCGACAGAGAGTGTGACGACTCGCGTACCAACAGCGCGAGGCTCTCTGCACTTCTACTAACTGAGCTAACTCGTCGGCAGATTGTTTTAGTTTGGCATCACTTGAACAATTTGCATTACCCGACTTCTTTTTGTGATGAAATTGTTGTTTATGAAGTTTTATTTTTAAAAGATTATTGACAAATGCTGTTGACTATTTATAAATGTTATAGATAATTTGTAAATGTTATCTAACCATCAGAAAATGCATCGAATGCTATTTTATAAATAAACATGTAATTTTCAGTTTGGTGATTTTTTTGAGACATAAAACGCCAAATATTGACATTGACATTGACAAGAATCATACAAATATTAATCCAATAGTATGGCATTTTATATCAAGTACAGTTTTTAGTTTCTTATACAATCCATTAGCATACTTCATTAAATACCTTTTCAACTTCCTGGCTGGCAGGTGGTGAAGATGTTGGCGATGGTGGTTACAGCGTTTGCGATTCTCTGGCTGCCCTATCGAATTTTTGTGGTCTACAATTCCTTTGCAAAGACCCCCTACACGAGTCTGTGGTTCCTGACGTTCTGCCGGTTGATGGTCTACTGCAACAGCGCCATCAACCCCATTCTCTACAGCCTCATGTCCGCCAAGTTCAGAATCGCTTTCTATCAACTTTTCAAATGCTGGGGTTAGTTTCTATTTTTATGGATTTTATTTTTTCATTCATACAAATTAAATAAGATAAATAATTTAACACGATAAAACTGAACTCATTTTAAAACCTAACTGGTATTTGAACAAGCAGTTGTCACAAGTCGTCACAATCATTCACTCCATTCAATAAACTAATTGAACTGTTCATGAAGCAAATGCAACTGACAAACGAACTAACTTCATGTAACTTAGTGTTTCGATGCGTTTCGATGCAACAAAAGTGGGAGTAGTTTATTGTTCAATAATTTGTATTTTCATTTTCTTTTTTATTTATTACGTTCTGAGGAACCTACAGGCAATTACTTAAAATTTCAGATGTGCTTATGTACGCTTTAGCAGTCTAAAAGTTGTTGAATAATTGAAGTGAATTGTCTTAACTTGATTCTTAAGTTAATTTGAAACATTTTTTAAACTAATAAAATGAATAGAATGATGTAAGATGTTAAATAACAGGAGATCACTTGTTTCTTGGTCGCAAGGTAGAATCACGTGTATAACGCATAAAACATAAGAAATTAAATTTTGAAATGGAGGGATCTCTTCGTGATAAATCAATTGAACTACTTAAATGAGTTAATACTGAACGGAGAACAAACATTTATATTTCATTTTGTTTCAAATCTGTGCAGTAGGTATTTCCCTTTATAATATTTCTGTCTCACATTACAAACATGTTTTCATCTCGCTAGAAACAAGTTTTTTGCACTCGATCCCTGGCCACTATTTATTTCTGTTACTTCCAAGCCATTCATTCTTTCTTCATTTTCAATTTATTTTAATTTCAAAATCGTTCTCCAGTAATTAATTAAGCTGCAGTTTTCGATTGACTGCTGCAGTTTCTAACCAATCTTATAAAACCAGGAGACCGTAGGATGTAGATAATGAGGAAGAGTATGCACAAGTACAATTGAAAACAAAAGTATTGCATTTTTTTACCATAGAAAATTAGTGAATTTTTGCGAGATGCAAAACATTTTAACCATTCTAGAAACTAAACTTTGTTCAATTTTTTAGTTACATGCCAACCTCAGCTTCAACCTATGTACGATGCAAATAAATTATAAATTGACCTCGACTACGAACAACTACGCACTCCAATGTTTAAAAATGTTCAAGCTGTTTAAAATTTGTAATGTAACATTTTGTTTGTAATATTTTCTAAGTAAAATGTAAACAATTTTTAATAGACGATTAATCGTTTTTTTTAATTTTTTAGAATAAAATTTACGCATAATTTCTTCCCACACTTCAGTTAGGCGCCTTTATCACACGATGACACGTTCCCCACAAATGTGCGCAGACACTTCGAACTCGGCCCACTACGCCGCCTTGCCTCCGTTAATGATGAAAGTTGCACCATTCACAGCGGGCGATCAGCCTGTAAATCCAACTGCTAGATGAGGAACAGCTCTATGCAACGTCAGTCACACAGTAGCCATGTTCAAATGCGCAGTGGATCAGGCTCAAAAAAAGACAGTCATCAATTTGGAGCATAGGGGTTGCGTCTACGTAACATTATTTTTCTAATAGGTTGTAACGGTTTAATGGTAACTACTACTTGACAAGTTTTAATATATAAGAAAGGACATTTATTTAGCGGTTACATCACCTCGCCATATAAATAGAAATAGCCGTGCGTGTCTGTGCAACAAATATGTACATCTTTTTATTACGTTGATCCGTGCATGCAGTAACGAAGCATGCATCCTGCTGGTCCATGTTGACGCTGAACATTTAAAATCCACTTGAGTGATTTCCTTCCATCTGTTGAATAAAATCTTTCATCCATCCGGAAATGTAAATGTAATAAGAGTTGCAAATCGGCAGTCCCTCGCTTCTCCATGCATCATCCGCTCACCAATATAGTCAGATTGAGTTAACTATTAAAATTAGTTTAATAGCTTTACAATACAGCCTTTAAAGACATTTAGAATGAATGAGAAATTGCTATAAACAATGGAAATACATTTCCACATCATGCATGCAGAGTAGGAGATAAAACATGGAATAAGTGTTTTATGCTGTCTAGCGAACGGACGGTTTGGAACGATTTAGAATGGAGGGCTGAACCTACACAGCAAATCACAATTTTAAATGTCCTACAGATAAATCAGTCTCCTTGCGTGCAGTGGGGATTTATTGCTTGAATCGACGTCATGGACGATGTAGCCAGATGGAAAGTTGAAACTTTATCTCTCAAATTACTCATTCTCCTCTCCTCTATTAAGTGCACCCAGCCGCGCCGTTACATCTTCAAAAAATAATTTAACTTAAATAACTTGATTTATATCGACTGTGATGGAAATATTTCAACATTTGCTGCTTGACAGTTATCTCCTGACACCGTATTTTACGTTGTAACTTAATGTCATTCCGCATTTTATATGTCCATCAGAAATTGAAATATTTTTGCATCCTAAATATTTTCTATGTCATAATTTTTCAACCTTTTAACAATTTCCTTCTACATGAATCTCAAATCGTTTTGCTACTCTGATATCCTCATATTTCATCTTCATCCTAATTCACATTTCGTCTTCATCTACATATTCACCATAATCACCATAATTTATCATCATCATCTTCGTCATCATCATTATTTTCGTCATTATCATCAGCATCATCTTCATCATCATCATGATAATTATTGCAAAAGCCTGAACTGCATTTATAACTGAAAAAAGAAGGAATGCAAATGGAATGAATGGATGGAATAGGATGGCTTACGTGGTCTAACATAATAATGCAGCACTAATTACTTCCTACATGAATAATTATGTGATTATTATGAAAATATATTTATGAGATAATTAATGCTGGCAACGTTTACTGTTTACAATACCTTCATGCATAGGCATAGGCGCAGAAAATTATCATGGCTAATTATGCTGATCGGTAACACTTTTTTATTTACTTTCACATGGATAAACCTGTTTAAAAAATGGGGAAATGTACTGAGAAGTGGTTCGATGTGTTAAACTTGATAAAATGTTCATTTCATTGTTACGGTATATTTTCTCTTTCGGCAACAATTAATATTCGAACTTGTCAACATTTAGTTTTGCATCGTTCGTAATTTGTACTTTTTTGTTTTATCACTTGGCATCTGCACTCAGCTCGAGTTTGAAAACAAAAAATTGCAAAATTTTCATTTTTAACTGCATCAGTTGAGTAGCAAAATGTACAAAGAGTAGAGATGAACGTTTCAATCTAATCTTCATGAAAGAACTCACGATTTTATATATTGTGTTTTTGTTCATTGAAACAACAGATAGGAAGAAGTCAGTGCGATCCTGCAAGACAACTATTACTATGACGTCCACGATCAACAACCAACAGAACGAGTCATCGACTGATTGATCGAATGTAAAAATGAATGAATGAATGAATGAAAGAATGAATGAATGAAGGAACGAACGAACGAACGAACGAACGAACGAATGAATGAATGAATGAATGAATGAATGATTAATTAATTCATTGATTGATTCACTGATTCCTTTATTTATTAGTTCCATGAAAAAGCTGATTATAATGGTAGAATTAAGTGGTTGGTCGGTGGTTTTTTTGATTGACTTGAATGATTAATAGAGGTGAATTAATATACAGTATGATTGAGTCGTCAGCTAATATATTTGCTTAATATTTTTAGTACATATAAAAAACTGGTTAATAAATAACACTTTGAACTAAAATGTTTATTATTACCTTTAAATTCATTCGCTTATTCATTCATAAAGAAATGTTTTTTTCCTGTTTTAACAGCATCTGATTATGCTTAATCTATTATTGACACTCTTTATTTGGGAAAATAATCACTAAAAATTTGAATAAGTTTAAAATATAAAAGACAAATTTTAAAGCATGAATTATTTTACGAAATAAAACTGGGACAAACGTTAAAGTGATGTTTTGTTGTTCGTTATTAAATGATGTTTCTTTAAAAACGGAGCTGCTAAAGTTTCGAATTTTACAAACTTGGTTGAAATTCTGGTCCACACGGAGTGCCTGGAGCACACAGTCGTCCACACCACATGTCGTCCACATACACAGACACACACACATGACGTTTACACTGCGTGACGTCCAAACCATATGACGAACACAAACCACATGGCATACAAACCACAGCGCAGTGCAACAACGAAGGAAGTTGTGGCCCTCTTACCGTCTGAGCTAACTTTCCAACTAATATTTATTATTTAGTAACATTCTTCCAAGGTTAATAATGAAACAAATCGAAGAAGTGTTTGAGTAGAAACCATGTTGACATGAGTTAATTATGAAGATGATGATAATTATAAACTGTGTTCACCTGGAGACCGTTAAACTGGTTAAACAGATTGAACATTGGGCTAAGAACAAATATTTGCATTATCATTTTAAAAACATTGAAAAAATATACTCCAGTGTCGAACGTGGTATGGGATGACAAAATACAAATTAGATCATCCGAGGAATCGGTGATCATTGATAAAATAACACTTAGAACGTTTGAGTTTAATCGTGAGAATCATAAAACATTAACACAGATCGGGTGTTGTCTGAACATGAAGACCCAAAAACTGATTTGAAAAGACCAAACGTGAAAGTGAGAAAGAAAGAATAACAATTTAGAAATAAAAGTGAGTATTAAAGGTCTAAAACCATTATTTTATATAAAAAAATAACAGATTTAAAATGCATTAAACAAAATTGTTATACAACTTTTCAACTTCACGAACAAAATTTTGAAAAAAATATAATTTATGTGTAATAAAAGTTGAAAAACGAAAGCCCTGTAATAAAAGTGTATTAGTGAATTTGTTGAAGTTATTAATCCGTTATAAACTGGCACGCGTTCATTTGCATAACAAAGAGCTTCTTCGTAACATAACACCAATAAGCAACCAACTATAAGACAAGATTTTTATTTCAACTAACTTTGAAACAGCCAGACCAGAAATTAACAAAGTGAAACTATTAGAAGCAATCGAATGTAAAAACGTTTAACAACAGTTTCTAATAAAAATGATATTTAAATTGCAAGTCAGTTAGAAATTGACACGCGCTCATTTGCATGTTGCTCAAGAGATGGCATGTTTATTATAACTAACCAATTACCGACCAATCAGATCAAACGGTTTTAATTACAACTTTATTAGAGTTAACGGGAAGACTCAACTTTGCTTTTATTGGAAATGAAGACTTCAAGTTTCGTTCTAACAATGGATCTAAGGAATACGGGACATACTTGAGCAGAGGAACAAAGCAGGTTGTACCGGGCAGGAGGTATTGAATCTTAACGAGCCAACCTATAAATACTCCATCAGATAACTACTGGAACATTAAATGCTCAGCGTGTGGTACATTGCATCCTCAGCACAACAAATTTGTATGAATCAAAAATATTATAGTGATTACAAAATTTAACAAAATATTCATTAGTAAACTCTAAAAATTAAAAGCAAATTGGAACAATTGTACAAAATATATGCAATAGAACAAATTTTATCCTATTGAAAAAAAATTATATTTTTGTAAAAACTGGTTTAAAATCCAAAAATTCTTTTTTAATCTGTTCCTAAAAATCGAATCAAATATATAATAAACTAAGTGAAAAGTCATGCAAAACACAAATAATATAAGTGAACCATCAATGACCAACAACAATTTACAAATGTTGATCAACAATTCACCAATGTTGAACAACAACCCACAAATGTTGTACAACATATCACACCCAAATGTCAACATGAACATGTACAACATGAACATGTTCAACAACTCCTGGCCACAAACAACTCCAGCCTGGCAACACAACAACATGCTTCAACATTCATTCCAACATCCAGCTTCCAATAATCCAGAATGCATGAGAAACACACATCAATCAATGGACAGTGGTTACTACGACAACTCATCCACCTTCCAACAACAAACACCAACAACATCAAGAAATTGTTCATTAATGCCCATGCATTTCTCAACAATGTTTCATCCTCAATTCACCTCCACACCACAACAACACAGAACATTCCGCGACAACAACGACAAACTTCAACCCTACAATCAGCTGATGAATTATAACACGAATCCACCTTCCAACATGCACCATCAAGCACCTCAATCACACCTCACACCACACCACTCTGTACAACATTCCAACTCACTTGATGATAGTGGGCTGATGATGAGTTCAACACAAAAACGACAACACCACCAACAACAGCAACAACATCACAAACAACGACATCAACAACAACACAACCAAATAGATGATCAACAACATAACGCAACAGACAAGCAGACGGAGAACACACGTGTCTGCAGCAATTGTGGCACAACAAGCACACCCATGTGGCGCAGAGATTCGGAGGGAAGATGCATCTGCAACGCTTGTGGTTTGTACGAGAGAGCCAACAACGGCCAGAAAAGAAATTTGAGACAGGCCAGAGGGAAAGCCCCCTACAATAGACCCAATCAAGTTTGCTCCAACTGTTCTACTAGGTCCACCACCATGTGGCGCAAAACGGAGAACGGAGAAGTAGTTTGTAATGCTTGCGGACTCTACTACAAATTATATCAAAAACATCGTCCATTGGAGCTGAAGAGGGAAAAGATCCAAACGAGAAAGAGACCATTGAAAAAAATGAAGACCAGGAATGAAGGCGTTGATGATCCAACTCAGCAGGCAACTACACAACAAACCACATCAACGAATAATTCATTACTTCAACAAATTGCATCAGACAACAATTCAACCAACACAACACAACCAACAACAAATCAACATCTCTTTGCATCCAATCAACCAACTGCTTACAACTCATATCTGCCACCAAACACATTCCCATCAGAAACATCGCATGCAAGCCATCATCTGACACAACAACATCCAGCACAACACAACACAAAACATACAATGCAACATGCATCAGAACATTCAAATGAAACCAACAACAGCGCACATAATTCACACCATCATCCATTAAATACATTAACTTCATTCCAGCATTTTGCAGGTGCTCCACTGGATACGACGAACTCTGATGAAGATGTCCTCAACAATCAGTGCTGCTTGTTCAATGCTACTCATTCTGATACTACGAATTCTGATAAAACAATTAGGCTAATTTAAATTATTGTTTATGGTTAAAATTTGTTGCATGTTTTGTTTTGAATTATTTTAAAATATTTATTCGATTCTTTTATTTTGGTTATTTTTATGTACATATTTAGCCATTCATGCTAATTACTTTTAATACATTTTGTAATTTTGTAAAGCTTTTCAATAAATAAAGTTGTAACATATTTGTTCAAATATTATTTCAGATCTTAGTATTGTAGTTCCCAAGCATGGTAATATTGCAATAAAATCATTTTGTTTGTTAAATAACTTCAATTCAACGTATAACTTCATCGTACAGTTTATTCACCGAATCTATTAACCAAAGTAGAACTTAATATTAAATTCAATTTTTTGATATTATCCATAAAAATGGAAAAACTACTGCCAAAGTTTTCGTACAATATAACTCAAAATCTGACTGCTATCTAATAATCAGTTGCATATATTTAAATTTCTATCAGTGTTCCATAAGTTAATTATCTTAAATATGCATCCTTAGTTCCATTCTTTTTAGTGAGCCATCATCGTCTGCTGTTCGCGTGTTGCGTCATACGCCGGTGTATCCATCCATTCCATCACGTTCTGCTTTGCATTCTAATTTTGTGTTGAATTTCGGTGTAAACTGTAAAGTTGTGGTGAGGGCTGCCATTTGATTTGACGTTGGGTATCAGTTTTGGAGTGATTAAGAAATTGGTTATTTAATTGTAGCTGGATAATTATTTCGCGTGATGTTTGGATCATTAACTTCTTGTACAAATTTTGGTTTATTTCCGTTTTAACTGTCTTTTTCGTTATTTTTGCATATTTTGGAATTGATTTTAATTTGTGTAGAGTTTTTAGTTAAAAATGTGGGTCTTGTGGCCGAGTGGTTAGCGTGTCCGTCTACCACTCCTACGACTCGGGTTCGAATTCTGCAGTTTCTACAGGTTCATCCGGTTAGCCGAACCCCGGCCAACCCAGCCGTCCATCCTTTCAAGACTGGTAAATGGGTAAGTTAGACAACGTAAGTTTTCGCATGTTGGCCGGCGAGGTGGTTCAGTGGTTCCAAATGCTCACTGAGTCAAATATCTCAATGGCTATCATATACTCAGCGTATATCATGCGATGCTTGCGCGTGCACATAAATACATGTTTACGCCGTGTGAGAAGGATAAACAGCCTTTGTGGCGAAGATGGCTGCTTCAAATCAATGATTGAAGATATGAAGAACATAATCTATATATGCAACATTGTAAGTGGTTCTGAGTATGTCAGAGCTGCATAATGAAGACTAAAATAAAAAAAAGTTTTTTTTGTTTGTGGTTTGACAATACGAGCACATAATGGACTTAATTACATTTTAAAATATACGACACGTTGAATTCAAATTATTTAACAAACAAAAATAATTTTTTTTAATATATTATAAAATAATTATTTAAATAAATAAATAAATATATTTTGGTTTGCAAAATCTGTTATCAATATTGTAGGAACTCATAACTTTTCATGAGCATAAAAACATTTCAAAATATCTTCTTCTATCATAATTAAGCTAATTACCGTCTAAATGATATGATCTCTAAAGAATTGAGAATATACAAAAAAAAATGAATAGATTGCCATTTGTCTTTTTTTGTTATTCTTTATAAAGCAGCTTGGTCAAACTTAGAGGAGCTGTTTACATGTTATTCAAATAATGATTTTCATTTTTTCCTAATAATTACAATTACATCATCTAGTAATCTGAATTTAAATAAAGTCATGAAAATGCTGTATTTACTTCAGTCATTCTACCAACGCTTGTTGTAAAAATGGCTTTCTCTTTCTTTATAATGCTGTTATGAAATTATGCAACTTTGAAGTTTGCATACAATTACGAACAATGAACAGTGCAAAATAATGAAACAAAATTGATAGTTTGTTCTTTAAAATATTTTAAAATGTAATTAAAAAATAATTTACTACAGAAAACACTTCCATCGACTGATTACAAACGTTCTTTAAATGTTTTTCATTAAATGAATTCATTTTCCAAACTTGTACTGTAATAATATTGTTTGGGATAATTGTCTTAATGTACATTATCCATATTTCTAAACTATTTAGACTTCAATAAATATCTCAAACTGTTATTATACTTAGATATTGCTGTTCATGTTGATGAAATTTTTTCACCATTGGGTTTCCCACCATATATAAATTGTATATTTATAGTGTTTCATTTTTCATGCTAAAAACTTTAAATAATTTGCTACTACCTGATTTTTCTAATTTCTTCATTCACAAACCATCTAATATTATCAACGCTATTCGCTTTTTTATTCCTTTTATTATACCATTTAGTAGATTTAAAATTCTGAATGACAGTCATTTTGTCCTTGGTCCAAAAATTTGTTTCGCATTTCAGCCTCCATCTGTCACTGGCATTTTAGTACCTAGTCTTCTTAAAAAAGTGTAAACATTATTTATTATCTGTAAACAGTCACTTTGTACGTTTATAAGTTGTATACGTGTGTGTGTGTATTTATATATTTATATATATATATATATATAAATATATATATATAAATATATATATATATACATATACATATATATATATATATATAACAATATTCTATAAATTCTACCGAATGTTTGGCGTTAATATGTTTGTAGTTCTTTTTTTCAATTTTTCTCACTAAAGTTTTTTGGTGAACGTTA